TGTACTTTGAGTATGGAAAGTTACCAGTATTATTGTATAGGCCCTGGGGCTTAAGAGACACGTATCAGGTGGGTTATTACATACAGGACAGAAGAGCAATAAACACAGCAAGCAGGTAGTTTAAATTCGTCTTGGTTTAATCCATGGTTCAGTCCATGTTCAATGCAAATGCTACAGTTGGTGACGAGGATTTCAGTCACGTTTGAGTCTGTGATTAGTTTGGGAAGTGAAGAAATACCACCAGGAATGGAGCAGAATAATCAACTGATTCGGGTTGACAAGTTTGATCCGCACGGTGACCCGACACAGCTAAGGCAAGCATGGCGTCGGTGGTTACGGGGCTTTGCGTGCTTTACCATGGGCAAAGGGGTCGTCTCACAAGGACAAAAATGAGCCCTTCTGCTGCATTTTGCAGGAAGGGAGGTTCAAGATATTTTCTTCTTTCTGACGGAGGAGGAAGGAACAGACGAATATAATAAAGTTGTTAAGACTTTGACAAAGCACTTTGAGGTGAAAATCAATGTACCGTACAAGAGGTATCGATTCCGCAGGATGGAGCAAACCAACAACGAGAAAGTCGACCAATACATCGTTCGGTTCAGACAAAAGGCAATACTGTGCAAGTTTAAGGAAATCAGAGACCAAGTGATTGCACAGTGTAAATCACACAAGATCCGTACTAAATTATTGGAGAAGGGACGGTCGTTGACAATGGATTGTTTGCGAATGATTGCAACCAATGTAGAATGACCAAAAAGTACCAACACAAGAGACAATCGCAGAAGTGGACAAATAAGGGAGAGATATGGAAAACGACAACAGTTGGAGGGCAGAGAGAGTATGACACTGATGGTAGTGAGTCAAACTCAGGGTATGCGTTCCGTTTACATGATGTAGGCATAGGCCTGTAGGCTGAAGGGGTTTGGGGGTTCAAACGATCCCCCTGCTCGCTTTTGAGTTCCGCTAGTTGGTGGTGTTTTTTTTAAATTACAAACTCATATTTTTAATATACCATAATTGTCGGAATACAAGCCGTGGCTTACATGCTGATTCTCATACTGAAAATGTCCCTGAGGCTTAGTATACTCCAGTTGGGTTATACGGCAACATTTGAAGAATACAATCAGTCACTAAACGCCTTGCTGTGCCTCGGCTCAGCGCAGCCTAGCCCAGGCTGCCGCCTGGCCACGCATGCAAGTGGCACAGCGCTCCAGGTGCATGGGCAACACAGTCATATTTTTGTTGGGTGCCATTTACACTGGCTCTACTAAAGTGTTGGAAATGAAGGAAACCAGTCCAGAGAGAATGAAAAGACTTGTAAATGTACCATAAGTACCGTTCACACCTCACAAATTGTGTGGCACGTCTGTTTAGTTTGTCTTTTACAGTTGTGTTATCCATGTTGTTTGTAATTTTACTAGTCAATTGGTTAAATGTTAAAAAGAAAGAACTGCTGCATGGCCCTCCCAGTAAGGACACTAATCTAGCCCACTAAAATTGGTAATTTCAAGGACTTGGGCAAGTTTTGGTTTAATAACAACACTCATTTGTGCACTGCTTCGCATTATAACTGAAGATACTGTACCCAAAAGTAGCGTAGACCCTAAAGTGGAACACTTCAAATTTTCGCTTCTAACAATTGTGTTGAGAGAGAAATATTTTACCTACAATATCACGAAAGATGAAGTTTAACCAAACTCCAAATATTCCAATTAATAAATGCCAATATCATATATCCGCTACAAAATTCCGATGAAATGATATTTTGGCCCAATTTTCCATTTTGTTTTTTCCGAGGAGCAAAATTAACTCTTTTAAATGTACCCCAAATTATATACATACAATTTGTTGCTTAGGTAAGTGAGTGGAGGTAATAATTATCTACTAGAATTTATCAATTTTAAAGAACGTCTGATTTTTTGGTGGGATTTTCTGAGATTAAAAAAAACAAAGTTCACATCATTCGCTTGTCACCCAGTGCCTGATTGAAGGTGCTCAGTGACGCGCAAATTCAATTTATGACACGCTGTGGATGATTTTAAAAACTGAAGTATGTAAGTCTTACATGCAATCCTTCAGTTCGCGAAAAACATACAACTTGTTCAAAAGCACATTATGATAGGCCTTTGTATAAAAATGTGTATTCACAGTGCCACAAGGTCCACTTCTGGGTTGGACGAACCCCCCATGGAAGATAGAAGGAAGGAAAATTTCAAGTGTATCAAGGGCAAGGTTTACCAGCAAATGTCATTATCGACAGTGGAGCTTCAGTTAATGTCATCAGTAAAAGTTTGGGGGAAGATCTGAATAGCAAACGAATCAAGTGTAAGTCAGAAAGAAGCAATAAGAAGTTGTATGCTTATGGAACAATCCATTGAAAGTTATTGGGAAGTTCACCACAGAAGTTAAAGTGAGTGGTTCATATGACACTAGTGTAGAGACTGATTTCTATGTTGTCGATGAAGAGGGGCCTGTACTTTTGGGTAAAGACACCTGCAGTGAATTGGGTGTGCTTAGACTCGGGATAAACCTGATGGGTGGAGAAGTGACCGATCGATACCCAGAATGTTTTTACGGGGTAGGAAAACTAAAAGATTATAAGCTAAAGCTTCACATTGACAAAGAGGTTAAGCCAGTGCACAACAAATGTATCAGATACCATAAACGTTGCGACAGAAAGTCAGTGACAAAATGGATGAGTTGGAGTCACAGGGTATAATTGAGAAGGTCAATAACTCAACCTCATGGGTGAGCCCTGTGATTGTTGTACTCAAAGGCAATAGAGATATTCGACTCTGTGTTGATATGCGTAGAGCCAATGAGGCCATTATCAGAGGGAGGCACCCAATTCCAACTGTTGATGATATATTGTGCAATATGAATGGTAGTGAGGTATTGAGTAAGCTAAACATGAAGTATAGGTATCATCAGATCGAACTTGATGGAGAGTCTAGAGAAACACCAACTTTCATGACTCATGAAGGTCTGTAAAGATATACAAGGTTGATGTTTGGTATCAGTGCCGCACCAGAAAAATACCAACAGGTGGTGTATCAGACATTGCATGATTGTGAAGGGGTTCAGAACATATTAGACGACATTGTTCATGGCAAGACACAAGCAGAGCATGATGCAAGGCTAGAAAAAGTTCTGTGCAAACTGAAAGAAAAGAAGTTGACCTTGAATAGGAGCAAGTGCCAGTTCAGTATGTCAAAGATAACATTCATGGGGCATGTGTTGTCCAAGAATGGAGTTGAACCCACAGAGGGGTGGATCAGAGACCTGAAAGAGGCAAGATGACCAACTTATGTGGGTGAAGTTAAGAGTTTTTTAGGACTTGTGAATTTCTCGGCACAGTACATTCCAAATTTAGCAACTGTAGCTGAACCATTGCGTAGATTGATTAGAAAAAAAAAACACGAAAAGTTCATCTGGGGCAAAAAACAAGAAGACAGTTTTGAGATGTTGAAGAACTGCCTAACCCAAGCTGAGACTCTTGGATATTATCGACTTGGTGCAACGAGAACACAACTAATTACTGATGCTAGTAATGTGGGCTTGGGGGCCATGTTGCTCCGGGAGTATAAAGGGGAAACAACTGTTTTGCAAGTAGGGCATTGACAGACGCCCTACTGATCCTGTCTACTTCAACTTGATCCTGTCTACAACACTTGTGCCCAGGTGACACAGGTATGGAAGGAGATTTTTTGTCACAAGTGGGGGGATGACTTCTGAAAGCTCAGCAAGGCCTCCATCCCAGGTGAGACTATGAAGCTGGCAAGTGCGTAATTGGTGGTGCAGGCTAAGGGTGTGCATGGTAAGTGACTTGAGAGTGGGGGATGATTATATTGGTAACCCCCCCCTTCTGGTCAAAAAGTGGGGAAGGGATATATCCCCTGATCCCCTGGGATCTCTGCCCATGGACACAGGCTCTTAAAGTTTATAGATGAACATCTTTATTTGGCAGTGGCAACTGGGAGCAGAGTGCAACCGTCACTATGAAAATTTGCAAAATTATTCCACGAGACTTTTATTTCTTGACTTTTCTGTTCAGTGACGAAAAACTGAATACATCTGCCACATAAACTGTGCCATAGGACCATGCTGGTCTGTGTCTCACATTCCTGGGCTGCCTCAGGGATTGTTCATAAACACTGTGATAAAACACACAATGCTCCAGGGAGTTTCTTTTTCAACTATGAAATTATTGTTTATCGCTGCTCTGCCACCTGTTGTGTCCGATGAGAGGAAACTCTTTGCTATTGCTATTAAAAACATTTAAATATCGTAGCATCTGGTGTATGACATTTAACAACACAAAGTGAAACTAATGTTACCGAGTGGATCCACTCGGAAAGAATGGGGGAAACAGCTAGTTCCAATATACAATGATTATTCGGGTGTAGCAAGGGTATCATAAATAAAAAACACATTCAACAGGGATGAGGAAGAACTGTCATTTGGACTGCTTGTTCATCCCTCCCACAAGTTGCAGGCTGCCTGAAATGTAATGGTTATCAGCAGAGGCTGGCAAAAAGGGAGACATTAACATTGGCTAAAGTTGAATTCAAATCAACAACTCATGCATTTTTGCTCAAGAAATAAACTCTGAAAATGCCAAAAAGAATGTCCAGTGTGCAAAAAGGGCAGAAACAAGGATGCAACACATTCTAATTCTGCACATAAAATTCAGGGTGGGACTGTCAGAACAAAAAGGTGTAAGGCCGCAAGATGGGGCTAGTTAGAATTGTTTATGCATGGCTGCGTACAACACACATGGTCTGCTAAAGTGCAATACATAATGTAGTTGAAAGGAATGCAATCAATGTGACTCACTGACTGAAGAAAGAAAAAGAACCAGCGTCAGGTAAGAGTAGGGCGGAAACTCCACCTGGTCACACTAACAAATTGCAGAATTGAAAATGACCAAGAGAAATTAAAATGATAATGAAGGAGACCTCCCAAATAATTGTGATTTAACACCTGTCACAGATACATACCGGAGCAAGGTCTTCGTACTGAACAGGGAGTTCATTGACAACCATCAGCACATCCAACTTTGTTTTGAGATGAGGAATCTCACACAGCTGCAGCATAAACTGGTCGGCATTTTCAAGCTCAGCCTGCCTTTCTTTAAATTTTTTGTACGTTTCCATGTCTTCAGCTGTTGGGTAATACCTGTCAGTATCGAGAACAAGAACAAGCAAACTGTTCATCTCTTACAGTCAAACTAAAGCTTCAAAGCTTTTCAATCTTCAATATTTGAATCTAAAATCAACCCTTCCAGCAGCTCCACTGCATACAATGTGTAAAGCAACCTGGAATGATCAGAGATTTGTAAGTTCAAACAAACAAGCAACCGGGTTACACTTTTAAAAAGTTTGATCTAATTTTTTTGGTTTTGGTTCTTTGGTAATTTTTGCTTCTGTTTTGCACTCTTATTTGTCAACATGAAGTGACAATATGAGATTTAAAAGTGTACATCCTAATACTACATAGGAAAATGTATATTTACTGGCTGAATGGTTACAAAATTGATTAATTTTGAGATCAAGCCTTTTATAACATTCAACTATTATTCTTTGAAAGTATCATCAAAGCCTCTTAAATGCATAGTCAATTCACCCTAAATGAATTGGGAGGTAAGGTGGTTCCATCCCCGTGACATTTTCCTCTAGTGTCATTGCAATGCCTTTTTTTCTCACAATCGTTCTTGCATTTAAGTAATGTCTTGCAATTATTTGACACCCATTTTGTGAAACCTGGACAGACAGATGTCACAAAAACACCCTAACACAGATTGGCCAACTATGTAAGGTTTTCTCATGTGATGTGCTCATATCACGTGAGCTGACCCACATTAGGCCATAAAATCCAAATAATCATAACCATTTCTGTTATAAGTTTATTATGTTTGGTTAATTCTAACTTACTGAACATCATATTTGGCAGACGAGCACTGTCTAAAATTGCAATTGTTAAAGCCCAACTCATGATGTGCCTAGTGTCTCTGGTTGTGCATCAGACATGAGCTATGCTCCAGCTTACACAATTTATATAAATTATGTAAGCCCAGTCCACACTGGACTTTTTTTGGTCAAGTTACCAAGACAATGAGTACTTTTCCCATTTTAAGTCCAGTGTGGACATCCCAGCAAGTCTTGCTCTCAGTTACTTTTACTTTGTCACATGGTTATTTTTAATGGCCAACTTCTGCCCAGGAAAAATTCCTTGGTCACTTTTTCCAGGAAAGTCCAGAGCAGACAGTGCAGAGTCAGTAAAACCATGGAAAGTGGCACAGTAGAGTGTACATGTACATCCAGCCTGGGCGTAAAAGTATGCAGCACACAAGGAAACAACCCACATGTGTTGCATGTTCCACTATGGTTTGGAATGTGGTGAATGCTTCTAATGCATTTGTCCTTTTTTGGTCCAAATCATGGCAAAAAATTATTACTGATATTGGAAGGTTCATTGGTGTTGTGCATGCACCATTTCCAGATAATAATGGAGGGCAATTAGAACAAAAACAAATGCAGGAAGGTAACGCCAATCGCCCTCCTAAGTCATTGTAATGACACCTTGGTTACTGCTCCCGTGGTCTTGGCATTGAACATGGCTGCCATCATGGTGTAGTACTGAATGAAAACTCAGGTTTCTTAAATAAAAAATGGGGTTGGGTAGGTAAACAAGTCCCCCCTCGAAGTTAAATAAATAAAAACAGTGAAAATTTCTTCCTTTTCACATGCCCAGCTGTTCTCCCATCCATTATATACATTTAACTTTGGTTACAGCACTCTAATTTTAGCAGCAAGAACCAGAGCAACGTGCACGCTTTGTCTTGGATGCTTCTTCTAAACTGTGTGAGTGCGTAATGCAAGTTGCTTCATGTTTTGGGACAGCCTGCAGAGTTTGTTAATTACTAATTACAGGCGGTTGTTTTATATTTGACTCCATACACCCTCATCTACATAAACATTTATGGTAAAATTCATACAATTTTAGATGACATGTATCTGTGTTATCCTGTGAATTGCTGTGTATAGCCTTAAAACTTTAGATTATGCTGTACGGTACAGGTGCACCTGTGCTTTGGTTTTACACGGTCAGTTGCACTGACGTTTAGCGAACATTCAAATATGTTCAGTACCTTAGTTATATGCAGAGTGCTTTAATTAATGGGAATCTGTATCATTCAGTGCTTGTAGTGAGCCATGCTGCTGTCCTTGTACTGAAATTGTAGTCGGTAAACATTCCAGTGGTAAAAGCAACTGGTAATCGATGTCCTCATCCAAGTCTACTGAAAAACCACCTTCACCCATTGAGTTTCACATGTACATGCATATTTCCTCCTTCCACTTAGGTTTGCTTATTGATCAGCGCCAAACACTGAACCCCAGCCAGCTTTTGTGATGGAAACGAGATGTCTAATATCATTCTTTGGTATTTAGTCATCTGATGCAGTAATAGCTTTTTGGAGCTTTGAAATTCATTCATTTCCTCTGTTCCTGTAAAAAAACAAAAATCACATTCTTGCACGCCTTGGTTTTACAAGAATTTAAAACCCATAAAGATGAAGCCAGCACTAAACTAAAGACCATCCTGATGGTCATTAGCGTGCAAATGTTTCTTAAAGCCACATTCAAGAATGTAAAGGAACCAGGAAATATGATTTTTTTGTAATAAAGTTTACCAAACACCCTTGAAATTGCATCTTTGGGTTTCAATTGACCTATTTTAAATGTTTGTTTTGAAATCTTAACTCATATTTTGATGCTTTTTTGGTTATGTTAATGCAATTTGCATATTCATTAGCAGAACTATGACATCATCCAAGGCACTGAAACTCAATGTTGCACTGATTTTTTTAACCACTGCTATGGCAGATTTCATTTCTTTGGTAATTTATTGCTGTGTAAGTATATGGCAATAATCCAGCAAAATGCTTTTCACAGAAATGTTCCCAGATAGCAAATTTGGGGTTCACAATTTGAACATGAAAACATGCAACCTGAACTGTGTCTTCCTGGATTTACATCAAAGCAAAAGTGCCCTCACTAGTCCAGAAATGATTGGTAAATTTTAAATGTCTGAAAAAGTGCACTGTTCAGTTCACGTAACTCAAGAATGATGTCAAACAGTCTCCATACATGGAAGAAGAGTACTGAAATACACACAAAGTGATTCTAAGAAAAATTCACTTCCTGGACCCTTTAAATCTTAATCTAAATTTCATTTACCATAAATAAGAACCCGACTTGCCCAACAAAGTATTAAATATGATGGGCCAAAACTTTAGAACTCATTGGATGAATCTCTTTGAGACCTAAATACTCTATCTAGATTCAAAAGCAAGTACAAGTAATTACTCCTTAACTCATACACTTCTAATTGTATTGGTGGCACTGCTCAAGTGGCGACACGTCGTGCACTAGCTCTCTGTAACATAGACAAGTTTTCTGGCTAATTGGCCCCCTTTTTATCACTGTTTGTTTGTTTTATGTGATAAGCATGGAAGTCGTAATCACAGGCACAACTGTCAGGTTCTTCGTGAAGGTCGTGGTGTGCTCGTTGTCGGGTACAGGCCAAATTGCAAAGTATCTCCCCATGCATATGGACCATGCGTATATTGTTACGGGTATTATGTGCATACTGATTTGTGGCGACACGTGTGCCCTTTGAAGCCAGCACCCACTCTACAGACTGACAGCACTGGTAAGAGGGCTCGTGTGGGCAGACGGGTTGCTCACGAGAGTGATTTGTTGTAACCTCCTCCTGTTGGCGTGTCTTTCCAGTTACACCAGGTTCTTAGTCCAATGAAGAGAGATGATGTGGCTTTGGTAGTCAAGAATGACACGTTGATTGTTGAATTAGCCAAGCGTGAATACATGAAAGTAGTGCACGATGTAGATCTGCATGGCTACATCCGTAACAGGGTACATGAATTGGGTCGACTCATCATACAACTCCGAAAGAACACCCAGCAACCAAATGCATCACTCCAATCATTTGTCCATCCGCACCACCTTTCTGATATTGTGAAGGCCGTCCACGATACTGCCGGCTTCAGGGAAGACAAACAGTTGTACGATGTTCCGTCACTAGCGCTGAAGATTGGTTATTCAGTCAAGAAGTGTGCACTCGTCTTGAAAGGAAGTGCCCTAGAGTCCGGCCAAAAACACAAAGCGGAGTGTGCGGAAGAGTTTCTGAATTGAACTGGCGAGACCTTGTGTCCACACATGCACACAGAACGCTGTACCAAGGAAAACGCAACAAAGTCACCATTCTCCTGACAAATGCCGATGTAGTCCACCTGTCGTTGTTCCTTCATGAAGCTGGCAACCAGGAACTTCAAGTCCTCCAGGGTGCTCGGGGCAGACAAATCAGGTCAGTTTGGCAGAAATTGAATGAGGTTAGTCTGTGCCACCTCATCATGTTCAACCGAAGAAGGCAGGGGGAGGTTTCAACGATGAAACTTGAAGATTTCCACAAGCACAGCACTGCCAAACTGGAGGGGGAATGCCTGTTGAATGATTTAAAACGCCAGCTGTGCAAGATGTTCCGTGTTGTCGAAATAGTCGGCAAGAGAGGCAGAACTGTTCCCATGCTTCTAAGCAATGAGGCAGTAGCACGGTTGAATGCCCTTGTTGCCAAGAGACATGAAGCTGGAGTAGCCCAAGACAACAACTTCTTGTTCGCACGGTGTTGTTATGGCAGGAGAGGCCACATACGAGGGAGTGACTGTTTAAGGGCATATGCAGATAAGGCTGGCCTTGACAATGCATTCAGCATCCGGTCCACCAAACTCCGTAAACATGTAGCAACTGCATCGCAAATTCTTGCATTAAAGGAACATCAGCTTGAAACTCTAGCCAACTTCATGGGCCACGATCTGCAGGTACATCGCGAATACTCCCAGTTGCCAGATACTGTACAGCGGGTCACCAAACTGTCCAGACTTTTCCTGAGTTTGGAGAGGGGCAACCTGCCTTCCCAGCAGGGCAAATCCTTGGACGATCTGCATGTAACTGGAGGTAAGGGTACCTTGTTCTCAAACTATGTTTCCCATGTTCTGTCTACCCAATGCTTGACTTCGAACCAAGTCAACCCAACCCAGACTCCCACTTTGTAGGGCATCATACTCGGCTGGAAAGAATAGCTCTCTTCCTATTCACCTC